TATGTGGGAACACCTGAATTTGCTCCCAGCACTTCAATAAAAGAAGGAAAGGGGAGGGGAGAGAGGAAGGGAAGGAAAAAAGAGAATATTTAGGACAAAGTTTAAAATAATAATAGAATGATAAGGAATAAGAGTTATATTAATTAAAAATTAAACCTGAGATCTCAGCTAACTTATTATCAAAAGTAAGGAAAGAATGCAAACAAGCATTTGCCACTATTGCTAACAATTTCTGAAGTGGCTAAAAATTAAGGTGGAGTTCCACAGAGGACGGAAATCTGTGTACATAGGCAGAAGTCTGTGTAAGTCTACACAGGCATTTCGTTGAGCTGAGTCTTTGACGGATGTTAAGCTACATGTGTATAAGGTGTGAGCATTAATCTGGGCAGAGAACAATCAGGGAGCTCCAGTGCTGGAATATATTCAAGTTTTAGAGCTAAATTATCCGGAACTTGAAGGTATGGATCGAGCTGATCTGCAAGTAGTTTAATTACTTGCCACAATAAAATCCTACTCTCTTTAAAAAAAGATAACAAAATTCAAACTCTTAGTATAACATACACAGTGTTTAATATCCAATAAAAATATGACTAGAAATCCAAGAAGCAGGAAAATTTGACTCATAACAAGGGGAAAAATCACTCTATAAAACAAACTCAAAGGACAGATGATATAAATAGCAGAGAGTAAACAGTTATTACAGCTATGTTTTTGGATTAAAGGGAAATTACCTCCATAAGAAGGTAAGAAAAAGGTACTAAATGGAGCCTTTAGAGTTGAAAAATATGTCTGATAAGAAAAATTCACAGTATAGAGTTACTAGCATGTTATACACTGCAAAGGGAACAATCAATTTTGAATTTGTAACAACAAAAAATAGCCATATGAAAACCACATGAAGAAAAGACTGGAAAAAATGAAGGACTCCTCAGTGTCAAGAGAACTTTTATCAATTTTTTTTTTTTTTCCATTTTGTTTGTTTGTTTGCAGTACTAGGGTTTGAACTTGGGCTTGGGCTTGCTAAGCAGATACTCTACAACTTAAGCCACACCTCCAGCCCTTCTAATTTTTTTTTAAGCTAAATATTCAAACAATTATTTCACAAATAAATATACATTAATGGATATGTGAAAAGAGTGTTAACACCATTATTCATCAGGAAATATATATTAAAACCACAACAGGACACTTTTATACATACACTGTCATGAATAAAATTAGAAAGCCTGACAATAAAATGTTGGTGTAGAAACAGAGCTGTCAGATCTTTCAGACATTGCTGGTAGAGGGTAAAATAGTATACTCCTGCAGATGATTGGCAGTCTCCTGTAGACATGTCACCTATCCTGTGTCCCAGCAATTCTACTCCTAAGTATTTACTCAGGAGAAATGAGTGAAATGTCCATAAAAGACTTGTATGAAAACGTTCTTAGCAACTTTACTTACAATGGCCAAAAAACTAGAATCAACCCAGTGACCATGAACAGCAGAGTGGAAAAACAAATTGTGGTCCAGTCATGTAATGGAATGAACACGAACATGGCAATCAAAAGGAATGAACTACTTATCCAATTAGTAACATACATGCATATAAATACATATATGTGTACTGAAAAGATGAACACAAAAGAACATGTGGTAGAATTTAACTTTAAACTTTGATTTCAGAAGTCAGAAAAACGGTTGCTTCTGATGTAGGGGAAGATTGAAAAGAGGCACAGAAGAACTTTCTGGTGATGGAAAAATTCTGCCTTTTTTTTTTTGGGCAGTACTGGGGTTCAAACTCAGGGCCTCATGCTTACTAGACACAGGTGCTCTGTCACTTGAGCCACTCCACCAGCCCTTTTTTTATGTTAGGTTTCTGTTTTGAGATAGGGTCACTTGAACTATTTGCCCAGGCTAGTTTTGAACTGTGAGCCTACTGATTTCTGCCTCATAAGTAGCTAGGATTATAGGCCCAGTAAGGTTCAATTTTGATAGGAATATGTTACAGAGCTGTGTGCATTTATTAAAACACAGAATCATAACATTCAAAATTTCTGCATTCATTGTATGAATTTTATCTCAAAACAATTTTCATACATGAAAATGTCATTAGTGAGTAGATATTTGATATAACTCAAAATTATAAATTACTTTTTCTAGTTTTATTCTTTAAAAGTATGATAATTACCTTATGCATTTATTTTCTGAAGGTGTAGTCATCCAAAATATGTAAAAATGAAATGGTATGATACTTGGAATTTACTTCAAAATGTCTGTGAGGGAGTCTATGTGACATAGATAAGACAGATTTGGTCATGTATTTATAGTTATTGAAGCTTAGTGATAGATGAGTTTATTGAAATGATCTCTCAGGTTTTTCGAATTGTTCGATCCACCTACATTAGAAAAGTCCCATAAAATAAAGTTTTCAAAAAGGCTTTGATGAAAAAGATTTTTACTGAGCCTCACTGAATAGATGGAAATTAATTTCTCATGTTCTTTTGAAAACTGTTTCTTTTGAGATCTATAATAACATTAAAAAATTTTTAATTCATTATAACATTTTATGCCATAATATTTTTTATTCTTGAGAGATGATAGCACAACCAACTTTGAAATTAGACCTGTGTTTCTAATGTTAATTTAATTTCATAATTTCTCTGACAGTTTACTTGAGAAAACTTTTCTGTTAAGTGATATACAGCATATCAGTTAATATTTACTCATGAATTGTTGAGCCCCTGTGTTTGCAGTGTAGCAATTTTTAGACAAAGACTTGTAAGCAGGTCATATACACGTAAAACAACTAGAAAGATCTGCCAAGGCAGCAGTAGGCAGCCCTGTGATAGTATGGTACTGAAGAAGTGCCAGAAAATGGACGGTTGATTGTGGAGTGTGCAGCATTGGTAGTACTTCTTAGCCACAATATATTAGTGCTCACTGTGTCGGAAACTATTGGTTATTTATGCATGTGTGTATGTTTTATAAATGTGCAGAACAGGAAGCATATGAATACAACTGTTGTGCTACCCTACCTCTGAGAGAGAACAAGATTAAGATAAGCTGTGATGTCCGATTTTTATAAGAACTAATAAATATGCTACATATTCAACTTGTAAAATAATTGATGGGTATTCCAGACTTTATTGCACGTCAAACTGAATAGTAAGACTTTTTAAAGTAATTGAATACTCACTGAATATTTCCTAAAGATTATAAATACACATATATGCACACATATTTAAGCATAATGTGAATTAATGACTTCTAATGTACAGGTTTAAGATAGTTATATGTTCCTTTTGATGTACTCTTAGCTTAATTTATTGAAAAGTCATGCTCCGTGTATTTGTGATTTAAATCCAGTAGCAAAAACTCCTAATATTCTGTGTATTTGGTGTAGAATTTCTAATATGAGTACATAAAAATCCAGTATATTTCATTTTAACCATTCTCAGGGTGGTTTATTCTTTACATATTTTGCTAGAAAAATTTAAATGTCTTATAATTTACAAGGAAACCTCATCTGTGAAGAATTTGGTTATCTAGAATCATTACCTCTTTGATTATTTCATACCATTGAGAATTCATTCAGAGACCTTGTATTCTTATTAGGTAGTGTGAACTCAGGACCTCACACTTGCGAGGTAGGCAATCTACCACTTGAGCCAGTCCGCCAGCCCTGATCTGGTTATTTTGCAGATATGTCTTGTCTGGCCTCAAACCTTGATCCTCCAGATCTCAACCTCTCAAGTAACTAGGATCAGGCGTGAGCCACTCTTTCAGATAAGGTCTCACTAACTTTTTCACCTGGGCTGCCAGCCCTCAAGCCATGATTCCCCTAACTCCACATCCCAAGCAGCTGGGATAGCTTTTATTTTTGGCAGTACTGCAGCTTTTCCTCAGGGCCTTGAACTTAACAAAAAAAGTATTCTATCACTTGAGCTGCTCCTCTAGCCCTTTTTACTTGTAGGTTGTTTTTCAGATAGGGTTTTGTTTTTTGCCAGAGCTGGCATTACTACTGCCATCCTTCTACTTAAGCCCTCTCTCATAACTGGAATGATAGGTGCCTGCTACCATACCTGGCTTATTTTGTTGAAGTGGGGTCTCACTAACTTTTTGCCTGTTACATGATCCTCCCAGTCTTTCCCAAGTACCTGGAATTACAGAAGTGAGCTGCTACACCTGGCTAGATTTCTAAATTCACATCAAATTAGAAAAGAAAGGCCTTACTGGAAACAAGCATACTAATATTAAGAGATTCAAGTGAATAACTCTTTAACAAAAGATAAAACTTAGAAGCTAAAGGAAGAAAAGATGAAGGCAAGTGAGAAGGGAGGAAGGGGAGGAAAGTCTGGAAATCTGGCAAATAGGATTAAACACATTTTAGTAATTTGCTATATTTATTTTAGATTTTTTTTTTTTTAAGAAACAAAATCTTTTTTGTGGAGGGAAATAGGGAGGAAAATTCTAGGGATAAAACCCAGGTCTTTGTGAATGCTAGGCAAGTACTCTACCACTGAGCTATACCCCCAGCAAAGAAATAAAATGTTAGAACAACTTCTTCATCTTTATTTCCTCCTACTCCCCAGTCACTGCCCTACATATATTGATGTGTGTTAGAAGGGTGTGGGTCAATACGTCATTGGTACTGGTTAGACTCTACTTTTTGTTTGTACTGACTGTACATTATTATAAAACAATCACATACTCCAGACTACCCTAATTAAACAACTTTCCTGAGAGTTATAAACATAGTTAAATGTGTTCTTTCAGACCACTTCCTGTGCTTTATGTGATAGGTACTTTATAAAAACTACAGAACTTAAGCTTTTTTTTTTTTATGTTCTGTACATACTATTCCTAACTTGTTTTTTCTCCTCCTGTTCCACTTAATGACAGTTTAGGAGCATTTCCCATGTCAATACAGAAGGCTCTATCCCAACCTCCTCCTTTTAAAGTCTGCAGAAGTAATTTATAGTTTATCATTTGTTTTCTCTTTCCCAGCTCGTGGATTTTTAGATGGCTTTTTGGTTTTCATCTTTATAAATAGTTTTGTTTTGAACCCCTTTGGGTTTATCTTTATTTTTTCTAAGTACTGTGAACCAGAATTGCTGGGCCATTGGACATGCTTGTGTTCAGTGTTTACTATTGTAACCTGGTACCCTCCAAATTGGTGTAGTCATTGTCAATTTTGCTAGTGATTATTTATTCTTTTTCCTTCTTCTCCATAGGGTTTACTAGCATTGGGCATCAGTAAGTCTGTTCAGACACCAGATCCTACTCATCCGTAAGGATATTGCCTTTATTTTGTTTCCATTAGTTTTGGTGACATCAGTGAAATAAAAGCAACTGAATTGCAAAAATCTCCTGCAGTTTATATATCTGCAGTTTGTGAAAGATTTGATCATTTCTTCCACTGTAGTATCTAAAATGCAGGACTCACCACTGTGTCAAAGTAAATTAAAGGTATACTTTGAAAATGCAGTTTAAATTATTTTTATGCTTTGTAACATAGCATGGAGATCTTATCTTCTCCATATTTGATAATTAATAACAAAGCAAATATTCTGAGCTTAGAGTTCTGGTTGTTTTTGGTTCAACTAAACACAGACTTCAGATTTATAAAGATAGGCAACCCACTCTAAAATGTTGGTAATAACTTCTATTAAATACATATTTAACTTACTTTAATCTTTTTATCGTGGTTGAGACATACTCTGTTAATAACTCAAAGTTTCACACTTATAAAATGACTATAGTTTTAGAATATATTATTTTGAATCACATCAATTATTTGAGAGATATTTATTTTTGTTGCATCTACTAACAACCATGTAAAATGTTTGAATTCCACATGCATCATTTTAACTAGCTTCATTAATACAATTTCATCAATGCTAAGGCCCAAAACATGTACTTTCATTTCTATGAAGGTGTCCATCTGTATACTGTCTAAATACCTTTCCTTACTTGCCAAGCAGGCACTCCTGTTATATATAACACACTCTGAATAGCCTATAATTATCAATAAGCTTTTATAGAGAACAGCTAATTCTCTAGTCATACATCATTGTTTTATTGTCTCCAGGGGAAAAAAATTTTTTTTCCTGCCCAGTTTTATATACAAAAGACTTTAAATCAGAGGGTAAATTTTTAAAGTTTAGGTTTTTTGTTTACTATAACCCAATAGAATTTTCTGCAATAATGGAATTATTTTATATCTGTCCAATATGGTAATCACTGACTACTAACACTGGAAATGTGACTAACGTAACTGAGTAAATTTTATACTGTATTTACTTTTTTTGAGTATCTTGGGTTTGAACTCAGGGACTATACCTTGAGCCATTCTACCAGTCCTTTTTTTGTGATGGATTTTTGAGATAGAGTCTTGTGAACTATTTGCCTGGGCTGGCTTTGAACTGGTATCCTCCTGAGCTCCTTCTCCTGAGTAGCTAGGATTACACATGTGAGCCACTGGCGCCAGGCCTTACTTTTAATTTAAATATAAATAGCTACATGTGGCTAGTGGCTTAGCATATTGGATTAATGCAGATCTACATAGTAAAAATTTTCAGTAAGAACCTGCAAATGCCGTGAGAACAAAAACATAATACTATTTAATTTAGATGTTAATTTACTTTGACTTAAATAAATGTCATATTACTTTGGGGAATATTTTAGGAAAAAGTAAATTTTTCTAAGTCAAACTGATGAAACATTGTCACATCTATAAACAGGGAATTCTTTATGACAAAAATATATCTTTGCAAAAAAAATAATTCAAAGAACAGTTTCAATTAAGAATTCTTGTTTGAATTTGCATGTGCCCGAAGGGTACAGTAGGGTTGGGGAGTGAATTTCCCAGGGATTATTTTTATGAATAAGTGATTTTTTTTTTCTCCTATGGCTTATGATATTTTTGAGTTCCCTTAATAATATTGTATTGGTACATTTTTACCGAAGTTGCTTGGGAAGAAAACTGAGAATTTTAAAAATTACCCTAGAAAGCAGAAGTTCTTGGTTTTAGTAATAATTGACAGTTGCTGTGTGCTAAACTACCCAGAGCCAGCAATAAATTATATGTGTTAAAACTATTTACTATTGAGCATCAAATTATAGGTAATATAAATCATAGATTGACTGCACCACAAAACCAAAATATTCAATTAGAAACTGCAGTACAAAAGAATTTAAGTGTTATTCTGTTCATTAAACATCTTAATGTATTTTTTACAAAGATTAATTTTACCAACATCTGTGAAACATAATAGTTAAGTAGCTCTACTAAATCAAAATAGGCTATCCAAAAAAGAGATTAGAAAATAATCTGAATTAAGTATTTGCTTTAGTTTTATGTACTTTCAAATATCTTACAGATTTTTCCACTTTATGTATTGCTTTATATTTGAGCTTGACACTTACATTTTATTTAAATATAAGGCTATAATATTTTCATAGTCTAAGTTGTTTTGTTTTCTTTTTAATTAACCTATTAACTGTAACTCAAAAGTAACTTTTTATTTTGTAAACTTTTATCTTTTTTTATTCTTTCAGGTATGGATTTTCAAATATGCGCTATATTTCTTCACTAATTAGTGGTGTTGGTATTTTCATGATGGGTGCAGGACTGTCTTGGTACCATGGAGTCATGGGATTGCTTCATCCTCAACCAATGGAATCCCTTCTATGGGTGATCCTCCCTGTTTTGATCCTCAGTTTTGAAGGAATTGTCATAGTGATTGAGCACAGTACAATGCCTTTGTCACGTTGGTATTAAACAACAGGAATAACAAGCCTTTTTGACTGTGTAATACAGTGTTATGTATTTGTAGTTGTGTTACTTAGAATATGACTGGACATGACCTCTAAGTCCATAAAATTTGGTCATAATGAACAGGAGGATCTCTATAGGTACAATTTTTATGCCTGACCTCCTTTATTAAAATCTTCAGTTAATGCTGAAGATCAAAAAGACTTGCTCATTTTTATTTCCAAGATTAATCTCATTTCAGTAATTAAAATGTCCAGGCCCATGTTACTAGTCTAAGTTAGAACAGCATTTAAAGTTAAAGCATGTCCTTTTCTTATCTGATGCTTTCTTGAGGTAGGAAGCATGCACTGGGGGAATGGGAAGAGGGGAGGATGGTTTACCTTCTGCTTTGCCTCTGGCTAAGACTTCTAACTTTCTCTTCTACCTTGTAGGCAGTGTCCAAGGTTGGGATAGCAAGAAAATTCTACAAATACACTGTGTTATCTTACATTGGTTTCTTCTGGCCTTTGTAGATGTTTAAAAATGTCTTTTCCTTTCATGGACTGTTCTTGCTTAGCTGCTCTGACTAGCTTCTTTGAGAAGCACAAACTGGTCATGTAGCAACCCCTGTCAGCTTCTGCATCTTATGGTATAGTTCTAGACATATTTGAAGTTGCCCTGCATTTGCCCAAGTTGCTTCTTGGGCATTTGATCTCTTTCCTAAAGAGTTCTATTTAAGGCTTTGTGTCTGGGGCCTATGTGTTAGAAGTCTTTTCACACAAGGTGCAAGGTTTTTTTTTTCCCCCAAACACAATCATCTATTCTGCCAATACAAACATTATCAGTAGCCTTGTCTGCAGATTTATCATTCAGGTGTGCATCAGATACAGTGATCTCCAAACTCCTGGGCAATCTCGGCAGGATTCATCAAAGAAATGTTTGCTTTTGGCCTCCTTAACCTCCACCTCTTCTTAAATGTCCTAGTGGATACAGTGCTAGAGTGTGGTCTAGTATGGTCTGCCTTCTTTGTAAAGCTTTAACAGATGGGGCAGCACTTCATTTAGGAATGTGGAGGTACATGTAACTTTTTTTTTTTCCTGTTTTGGGTCATAGAATGGGAAAGAATCAGTCTCATTTTAGCATCCTGCTAAACCATAAAAGTTTAGTAATTATAAGCCTATTAAATTAGGGTTATTTTTAATTCTGTTTTATTTTTATGTATTTAGTTTTTAGACAGAGCCTTACCATGTAACCCAAATGACCTTGAACTTACAGTACTTCTGCCTCATCCTCCCAAGTTCTGCGCTTAGAGGCCTGTACCAGCCCTTTTTTACATTTTATTGGCTAGTATCCTGCAGACTTTATTGGACAGTTTCTTACCATAAATCATTTCAAATACATATTTCCTCCATTCTGAAAAGGTTTAGCCATATTATAAAGTACTTTACTGTCCTAGCATTCATCTGATTTGTACATCACTTTCCAGAGACAGCAGCCTCTGAAGTTAGAGATTAATTAGTTACATTTTCATCTAAGTTTTAAAGCTTCTAATAGCTCTATGCCATTTAGTAATGGAGTATGGTTTCACTAGACCCAATTTATGTTGATTAAATATTATTTTGGAGTCTTTGTTTTTCTGATCTCTGCTTTTTCCTTTTCTTGGGTGATAACTTTATTAAATCAGAAAGGAGGTAGAAGAATTAAAAAGAGTTTGGGAGTTTAGCTACTATGTTATTTATGGTTTAGGTTAGCTATAAGATTCTGTGGGAAAAGGCTTGAACTGAGGCTAGAAAGCCTGCATTCTAGATCTTATTCTGCTGTCATTTTTATGTACTCAGTCAAATCACTTAGCCTTGGAAGATCTGTTTCTTTAAAAGAATTACAAGAGTGTTTGAAAAATTTCAAACCTCTTGTTTCAGGAAAGCCTGTGGTAACAGAAAGGTATGTTAAAATTTTTATAAATGTTTGTGTGAATTTCTTTTAAAAAAATTTAAGTAATGAGCTGGGAGTGGTAGGGCATTTCTATAATCCCAGCCCTAGGGAGGCTGAGGCAGGACGATCTCAAGTTCTAGGACAGCCTGGACTATGTAGTGAGACCCTGTCTCTAAAGACTTTATTACCTAGTTTGAACAAAAAATTTAAGAAAATTTCAGTCACTAGCTTAACCCTTTTTGTATATCTTGGACTAGAGCTTCTTTTGCCATTTTTTGTGTGTGTGTCTTTGTTTTTGTTTTTTGTACAGGGATTGAACCCAGGGCCTCACGAATACTAGGCAAATACTACCAGTGAGCTACATCCCAGCCCTTCTTTTGCTATTCTGGCATCTTTATTTAATTGAATAGTGGTCTGGGACTGTAAGGAAGTGGTGATATATTCTCTTTGTCTCTCTGTCTCTGTTTCTGTCTCTTTCTCTGACACCCACACACACACACCCACACACCCCCACCCACCCACCCCCTGGTATCTACAGCTCCAGGTTCCAAATAATGTGTTTGTAGTTCATTGTCTTAATTTGAGTTGTTTACAGTTTATCTAGCTTGAACTTGGACTTAGGTCCTTTTCTGTTTTAGGTATTACCAACTTTATGCATGAGCAATTATGATTCTTTAGTAAAAACGCTTCATTTATGCTTTAATATTTATTTTCTAGGCATATTGTATTTTAGCAGGATCACTAGTATCTGAAGGAGGTATGTATTTCACAAAGTATTACTTTATTCTCAGTTTAGTGCTGTGTATTCAGCAATGCATTAGTTATAGTATGATAAATTCTGTTAAAATTGTGGAGCAGGCAGGAATGGTAGTACATGTCTGTAATACCAGCACTCAAGAGGCTGGGGCAAGGAGGATCATGAGTTCAAGGCTAGCCTGAGCTACAGGGCGAGGGTCGCAGAAAATCAGAGCGGGGGAGACAGTGAAAAAAAGAATAAAGAAAGAAAAGGGAGGAAGGAAGTCTAAAAAAAAAAGGAGGGGAGGGACGGGGAAAGGGAAAGGAAGAGAAGGCAGGAAGGAAAGGAAGCAAGCAAACTGTGGCATAGGAATCCTAGCTTTCTTTACATTTAAGGAGGAAAGTCTTTGATAATGTACTATTATAATATGTAATGTATGATAATGTACTTTGATATGTACTATGGTAGTTATTGAAATGAAAGAGGGCAAGGAGAAAGCATGTTTCATTCTTAAGAATCACATAATGCTAAGAATATTGGAATAGAGCATAAAAACATAACTACATTGAGGTTTTTAAAAGCTCATTTTCTGAAGAAGCCTGTCTTTTTTTTGCAATAAGAATACTTCAGAATTTTTGAAATAATCAGCTCTAGTAATATTATGACAGAACTGCTAACGTTAGTATGAAGTGGCCTAATTCATTGTGGTATTCATATTCTGTATACCCCTGAAACATTCCCATTTTATGTGAACAGTACTCCCTTCATCTATTTCTTTTAATTATATAAATTTTAATTGATAGATTGTAATTGTACATATTTATGGAAACCATCTTTGAGAGACTGTAAGATGATGATAACACCAACTGCCTGAGAGGTTGGGAGGATAAAAAGTGGTTGTGTTTTCTGAAGTACCTGCCAGATAGTGGCTATTCAGTAAATTAAGACTGTTAATTATAGTTATATTTAATGATTATGGATTACAAATACAGAATTTATTTTATTATAATGATTATTTGGAATATTGTTAACGACAATTAATATAGAACTTTTCCTTTTTGCCAACCTTGACAATTTAAGCATATTTATCTATCTTTTGAGATGCCACCTTTAAAGTTTGGAGGCATGAAATTTTTTCCTTGCTGACACGATACTTTTCTTTCAGCAACACTTCTTGTTGCCATAAATGAACTTCGTAGGAGTGCTCAGGCCAAAGGATTGTCATTTTATAAGTATGGTATGTATTTTAGGTGCCAGATACTAATTTCCCCTCTTTCATTTGCTTAAAATGATCTAGTACTGTTGCTTTGTAGTATATCTTAGTATCTTTCCATGTGGGTCTAACAAACAAATCAGTCCTTTAAAACAAGAGAAATGTAGTGCAATTTGAGAATGTGAATACTTTACTTGGATTTGACTTAAGTAAACTACTGATTTCTGTATATGCCTATATAAGTTGAGAAAGCAATTTGCTGACATTTAGTCCAAAAAATTATGTTTATATTGAATAGTTTTTTAAGAATTATGATCTGCTGTATATTTTATCTTAATTTATAGTTTGATTTTATTTCGTAGTTATTAAAATATCTTTTGATCGTATCAAGTTTTCAGAAAGTTTCTTCTTTCTCTCCCCAATGATTAAGTAATGGAAAGTCGTGACCCTAGTACAAATGTCATATTATTAGAGGATACTGCCGCAGTGTTGGGAGTGGTCATAGCAGCCACTTGCATGGGCCTTACTTCTCTAACAGGTAATTATTTCTTAAATTACAGGTGCTTTATTTGTATTACATAATTCTCTAATATATGAGAAATTTTGTCTTAGATCATTAACTATTTTAAGTATTAATTATACCTACTAAGTATTCTTGTAAGATACATGGTCACTAAAAGTGTTCTTACTTCTCTGAATTAGAAATTTCTGTAAGGATTAGAGGTGTGGCTAAAGTGTTACAGTACCTGCCTACAGTCATGAAGCCCTGAGTTCAAACCCCAGTACCACTAAAAAAAAAGAAAAGAATTTTCTCTAGATTAGAAGAAGTAAGGAAAAAAATTAATAGATTTCTATAATATTTTATAAAACCTTTCTAGCTATAGCTCTGAACTTTAAGATCTTTACATATAGTAGGGATAATATTTATCCTACAAACTTCATGGGTTTATTAAAATAATATGAGAGAACTTTAACAAACGTTCTAAATAGGTTTATTAAATAAAGTTCTAAATAAAATGTGGCTTTTGTTGATTTGTCTTTTTCTGCTCTTAGTGACAATAATGACTGCTGTTACCGTCACATTTTTTTAAACTGTCTTTTAAGTTGGTTCCATCTTCATTTTGGTAGCTACTTAACTCTTTTGAGGACTGATAGAATATAGATAATACCCATTTTGTTTTCTAAAACATGAACTGTTTGATATAAAAAGACTCAATTTTATGAGGTTGGAATTCTCTTGCAATGGAACTTCCATCATTCTTCCCCATTTATCCTTGTATACTTAAGATAATTTTAGGTTCTGCAATATTTCTTTAAATAGTCTGAAATATGAATAGTTCTTTGTCATATTGACTATGCGTTTTAAGACTAACGCAGACTTCTCTGATTTTCACTGTAGTTTGAAATAAGTCTGAAAGTATATTGATTACTTTTCTGGTTTACTTTACAGTTTTGGACTCTTTTGTAAATAATTCTTTACATTTGGATTTCTAAATAGCAGTATTCAAGTTTGAATTGCATAATTACAAATCTTGTAGTGGATTATGATTTATAGATAGGTCACTTAGTTGAAATAAGTGAGTTTACTTTTTAGTGTTATATTTTGACTGTATGTAAATAAAACTAGTTCATAAGTCAAAGTTTTTAGTAAAATAAATACACATTTTATGAAGCATGGAAAGCGTTAAATATAGCTGGGCATATGATGGTCCATGCCTGTAATCCCAGCACTCAGAATGCTACTGCAGGAGAATTTCAAGTTCAAGGCCAGCCTAAGCCACATAGTGAGTCTCTGTCTCAAAAAAACAAAAAAGTTAAGAATAATGTCAATGACAAAAGTGGAACTGATATATCTAAAAGATCCTGCTTTGCATCATATTATTAATGTGTATGTAGTGTTTCTAATCTGAAAATGCTCTGAATCCTTACTTATGTAATGACCAGATATGAGAAATGGATCTTAATTAAGTCACATAACAGTCTTAGGCAATACGAAGCAAGTTTACTCATCTCCATTTTGTACTATCATAAAACTATTTGGACTCATTAAAGGAGGTAATTAAAGGAATTAAGAATGAATTTCAAGTCTCTTGATTTATTAGTCCTGATTGTTCTCTAAATCATTGAAATATTTAAAAATGTTAATTTACTGATGGCTTATTTGCTTTATTTAGGAAATCCATTGTATGATAGCCTGGGTTCTTTGGGTGTGGGCACCTTATTAGGTGTGGTCTCAGCATTCCTCATCTACACTAACACAGAAGCACTCTTGGGACGATCCATCCAACCAGAACAAGTACAACGGCTTACTGAGCTCCTGGAGAATGACCCATCAGTAAGGTCAGCTTTATTCCACTGATGCTCTTCAGGCTTGTGAAAGCAGACATGCTTGGTTTGTAAATACTTGCAGAGGAAGTTTTGGATTCCTAGCCATTGGAAATTCTTAACCTATTACTTTTCAGACTTACTACCTTATAAGAAAGCAAGTACATTTAGGAAACTCCTTATGGATTACCTTTTAAGTTTTGTGTAACTTATAGAATAAGGCATAGTCAGATGATCTAATGAGAACAGAAGTTTGCAGTATAGTTGGCTTCTTAACATAGAACCATTATTTTTATCGAACCCTTATATTTGTCTTTTACTTGTACTACATTTGCAAATTGAATATGTTAAATGTGAAACACATTTCATGGGGAAATGATCATGAAGTGAACGTAATTTATGTATCTTTTGAAAATAGACTTGGCTTATTTTTTCCCATATACTTTTCATCTTTTTTTTTTTTTTTTTTTTAAGTTCTGATTGTCAAACCCAGGGCCTAACACATTAAGGAAATGTTCTACCACCGAGCTATACTATCATCCCTTTCTTTTAAATTGTGTAAAACTAAAGAATTGAAAACTAAGAAGATAATCAGAAGAAGAGTTCTAATAGTGTTTTTTAGTGAAATTTAGCAGCAGTGTGGTTTCATAATGAACTGGAAAAATAAACCTTAAATATCTTAATTTTCAGAATTGGAGTATAGCTATACTATCATCCCTTTCTTTTAAATTGTGTAAAACTAAAGAATTGAAGACTAAGAAGATAATCAGAAGAAGAGCTCTAATAGTGTTTTTTAGTGAAATTTAGCACGAATGTGGTTTCATAAAGAACTGGAAAAATAAACTTTTAAATATCTTAATTTTCAGAATTGGAGTATAGCTCAGTGACAAAGCTCTCGTCTAGAATGCATGAGGTTTTTGGGTTCAGTCCCCAGCACTGTACAAAATAGCCTTACTTTTCTACTATGTATTTATTTAGATGGCTTGGATATGAAGTGCCCCCAAAAGGTTCATGTATTAAAGGTTGTGTCCCCAGATGATGGTGTTATTCAGAGGTGGTTGGATCATGAGGGCACTGACTTCATCAATGGATTAATGCGCTGTTGAGTTCATAGCAAAGTGGGCTGTTAGGAATGAGGGGAGACTTAGGTGGAGGAAGTAGGTCAGTGGGGGTGTATGTCCTAAAAGGGTATTTTGGCTTCCTGGCTGCTTCCCCTCACTTGGTCACACTTCCATGATATTCTTCCTCCTGTCAGGCCCAAAGCAGTGAATCCAGCTGATCTTGGATAGGACCCTAAAACCATGAGCCAAAATAAACCTTAAGTCTCTAAAGTTGTTATCTCAGATACTTGGACACAGCAATGAAAAACTAATGCATATATGTACTACTTTTTCAGACTTTGAAATAAGAAGGTATTTACTCTTTTCTGTTTTAGTCTTATTCTTTTCTGTTGCTGTAACAGGATACTCTAGACTGGGTAATTAATTTTTAAAAAAGTTTATTTAGCTCACAGTTCTGAAGGAAGGGATGTTCACAATTAAGTGGCCACATCTGATGAGGGGATTCATGTTGTTTCAATTCATTGTGGAAAGTAGGAGGGCCAGCAGTCAAATGTAGAAGAGACAAAATAAGAGGAATAACCTTGCTTTCTAAAAATCAGTTCTTCAAGAAACCATTGAAGTCCTACAAGAGCAAGAACTGACTAACTTCCAGGAAGGCTCCATCCCCAAGAGCCAAACACCTCCCACTGTGCCCCACTTCTCAGCACTTTTGCAGTGAGGAAGTTAGCCTCACCAATTTTGGGGAGTCAAATCATAGCAGTAGTTTTCTTCTGTGTTATAATTGAAACCCTTAAATTAATCTCTTAAATGATAAGAATACTGGAATCAGTAAGACATTTTGATTACTGGATTTATATTCTACACTCAATATGTTTGATCTTGCAAAGTAATTAGTTGGATCAAAATTAAAAGTCAAGCATTCTTAATTTTTTTTTTTTTTGAAACAGGGTCTTACTGTGTAGTCCAGGCTGACCTTGAACTCACGATCCTCCTGCTTTAGCCTACCAAGTACAGAAGTCAGGCATTATTAAAGTCAGTGTTATACTTAGTGATTTAATGTGAGATAAGCCGCATGACTGTTCTTTCCAATACTGGCCTGATAGAATGAATTGGGAAGTTGTACTTCCTTTTCTGAAGTTTTTGGATGAGTGTGAAGAATTGATACTAATTTCTTCTGTAAATGCTTGGCATAATTTAGTGGTGAAGCCATCTCAGCATAGGCTTTTCTATATGAATAGCTTTTTGATTACTATTGCCATCACTTCTTATGGACCTGTTCATATTGGGTATTTTTGGGGGGAGAAGGGAGTTGGGAGGGTTGGGATCACAGCCAGGACCTTGCACACACTAGGCAAGCCTCCTCCCACTGAGCTGCAGACACAGCCCCAGACTATTCTTATTGAGCCAATTGTGGTAGTTTTTATCTTTCTAGAAACTTGATCATTGTTTCTAAATTACCAATTTTTTTGGTTACAACTATTCTTAATATTTGTTTGAGATCCTTTTGTTTCTTAGGGTTGTAGTAATGTCTCCTTTTAATTCTGATTATATTAATTTGAGTCTGTTTCTTTTTTCTTGGCCATTTAAAAATGCTAAAAACTTCTTGGTTTAGTTTTCAGAGAACCATCTTTTGGTGTCATTGATTTTCTTTGATAATCTATTTGCTTTAATCTTTATTCCTTTCTGTTTGTTTTAGGCTTAGTTTGCTTTTCTTTTTCCATTGTCTTAAGATGGTAGCTATCCTTATCTCAACCAGCAAAAACCCTTGTTCCTTCCTATTATTGCTTATACTCTCTCTACAACAAAATTAGAAATAAGGGAAAAATAGTT